ATACCACCAGTGAACAGAAACAGCTTGATTCCTCTTTTCCAGGTTGATGCTCCTTTATGTATTTCTCTTGTTTGATTGCTCTGGCCAGGACTTCCACTACTATGCTGAATATAAGTGATAAAAGTGGGCATCCTTGTCTTGTTGCAGTTCTCAAGGGGAATGTTTTCAAATTTTCTTATTTAGTATGATGTTGGCAGTGGGTTTGGTTTGGCAATGGCTTTATTTGTTTGAAGTAAGTGCCTTCTATGCCTATTTTGTTGAGGAAATTTATCATAATATAATTCTGGATTTTATCAAATACTTTTTTCTGCATTTTTAGATGATCATACTTTTTAAAAAAAAATTTGTTCATAAGACGTGATCACATTTATTGACTTGCATATGTTAAACTGCCCCGCATCCCTAGGATAAAACCTGCTTTGTCATGATGTATTATCTTTTTGATGTGCTGTTGAATTCAGTTAGCTGTATATTGTTGAGAAGTTTTGCATATATGTTCATCAGGGACATTGGTCTGTAGATGTCCGTTTTTGTTGTAGCCTTTGCTGGTTTTACTCTTTAGCATGATACTGGCTGCATAGAACAGTTTAGGAAACATTTCCTCTTTCTTTATTTTTTGAATAGTATTAGTAGAAATACTACCAATTCTTCTTGAATGTCTAATTGAATTCAGCTGTGAATCCCTGGTTTTAGCCTCCCTTCTGGTTGTTGGCAACTTTCTTTTTATTACCAATTCCATCTTGCTGCTTGTTATTGGGTTCTTGATGGTTTATTTTTTTACTGATTTAAGAGGGTTGTATATTTTCAAAGATCTGCCAATTTTCTCTAGATTTCCTAGTCTGTACATGTAAAAGTGCTCATAGTAGCCTTAAATAATTTTTTATAATTTTTGTGTTATTGATTGTAATATGTCCAGTTTTATTTCTAACTGAGCTTATTTAGATTTTCTCTTTTCTTTTCTTGACTAGTCTTCAAATGGGCTCTCAATTTTGTTTATCTTTTCAAAAAATAGCTTTTTCCATTTATCTTTCTATTTTTTTGTTTCAATGTCCCTTCAGTTCTGCTCTTTATCTTTGTTGTTTCTTGCTTTCTGCTTTGTTTGGGTGTATTTTGTTCTTGTTTCTCTAGTTTCTGAAGTGACCTTAGCTGGGTTCATTTGTGCTCTTTCAGACTTTTTGGTGTAGGCATGTAATGCTATAAACTTTTCTCTTAGCACCATTTTTGCAGTATCCCAGATGTTTGGATAATTTGTGTCATTATTATTGTTCATTTTAAATAATTGAGCAAATCTCCATCTTGATTTAATTTCTTAATCCAAATATTAATCGAGAGAAGATTGTTGAATTTTCATTTATTTTTAGAGTTTTAAGGGTTCCTTTTGGCTGCACGCAGTTTTATTTCACTGTGGTCTGAGAAAATTCTTGATACGATTTTGATTTCTCTAAATTTATTGAGACTTGTTTTTTTGTGGCCTAGTATATGGTATATCTTGAAGAATTTTCCATGTGCTGAAGAGAAGAATGCATATTCTGCAGTTTGGGAGAAGAACGTTCTGTGAATGCCTGTTAGGTGTATTTGTTCTAGAGTGTAATTTAAATTCATAGCTTCTTCTTTACTTTATGTCTTGATGATTTGTAGTGCTGCTGCAAAGCATTGAAGTTCCCTAATATTACTGTGTTGCTGTTTTTCTGAGTTCTCAGGTGTTAGGTGTGTCCGAATTGGTGGGTTATTAGTCTCGCTTCTACTTCAAGAATGAAGCCAATGACCTCGCAGGGAGTGTTAGAGTTCTTAAAGATGGTGTGTCTGGAGTTTGTTCCTTCAGATGTTCAGATGTGTCTGGAGTTTCTCTTCCGCTCTGGTGGGGTTCATGGTCTCACTGGACTTCAGGGAGTGGCTGCAGACCTTGCGGTGAGTGTTACAGTTCTTAAAGGCAGCGCATCTGGAGTTATTCATTCCTTCTGGTGGGTTCGTGGGTCTCCTGGCTTCAGGAGTTGCTTACACACTCACAGAATGTTATAGCCTAAGTAAAGGCGATGTGTCTGGAGTTGTTCATTCCACCTGGTTGGTTCGTGATCTCACTGGCTTCAGAAGTGAAGCTGCAGACCTTCACCTTGAGTATTACAGCTCATAAAGGCGGCATGGACCTAAAGAGTGAGCAGCAGCAAGATTTATTGCAAAGAGCAAAAGAACAAAGCTTCCACAGCATGGAAAGGGACCTGAGCTGGTTGCCCCTGTTGGCTCAGGTGGCCTGCTTTTATTCCCTTAACTGTCCCCACCCATATTCTGCTGATTGGTCCATTTTAGAGAGAGCTGATTGGTCCATTTTAAAGAGCGCTGACTGATCCATTTTACAGAGAGTTGATTGGTTCGTTTTGATAGAGTGTTGATTTTTAGGTGATTTACAATCTAGACACAGAATGTCTAGATTGACATCTTTAGCTAGACACAGAATGCTGATTGGTGTGTTTATAATCCTTTAGCTAGACACAAAAGTTCTCCAAGTCCCCCACCAGATTAGCTAGACACAGAGTGCTGATTGGTGAGTTTAGAAACCTTTAGCTAGACACAGAGTGCTGATTGGTGCATTTACAAACCTTTAGCTAGACAGAAAAGTTCTCCAGGAACCCACTAGACCCAGAAGCCCAGCTGGCTTTACTTCTCAATGGTACTCACCAGGGACTGTGGCACGAGCCCAGAACTCTGGCAGCCCAGAGGAGCTTGCCCCAGTCAAGCCCAGCAGGCACCGGCCGGCCACACCGAATGCAGGGCACGAGAGCCTCTACCCACCCAGAACCTGCACTAGCCCACGCAGTGCCACGTGCAGCCCCTACTCCTGCCAGTGCCTCCTTCCACAGCTCCTGCGGCGAGAGAGGGAGCCAGCTCGCTTGGCCAGCCCAGAGAGGGCTCATAGTGCAGTGGCAGGCTGAAGGGTTCCTCAAGCATGGCCAGAGTCGACCCCAAGACCAAGGAGGTACCAAGAGTGAGTGAGGGGCCGGGTGTGGTGGCTCAAGCCTGTAATCCCAGCACTTTGGGAGGCCGAGATGGGTGGATCACGAGGTCAGAAGATCAAGACCATGCTGGCTAACACAGTGAAACCCCGTCTCTACTAAAAATACAAAAAATAGCCAGGCGAGGTGTCAGGCGCCTGTAGTCCAGCTACTCGGGAGGCTGAGGCAGGAGAATGGCATAAACCCAGGAGGCGGAGCTTGCAGTGAACTGAGATCCGGCCACTGCACTCCAGCCTGGGCAACAGAGCGAGACTCCGTCTCAAAAAAAAAAAAAAAAAAAAAAAAAGAATGAGTGAGGGCTGCTAGCATGTTGTCACTTCTCATTAATAAGAATTGTTTTATAAATCTGGGAGCTCCAGTGTTAGATGCCTATAAATTTGGGATTGTATTATTTTTCTTGTTGGACTAATCCTTTATCATTATATAGTATTCTTCTTTGTCTTTTTTAAGACAAAAAGGAAACTGACCTTCCTGTTGGATTAACTTTATCATTATATAGTATCCTTTCTTTGTCTTTTTTTAAATATTAAAAAGGATAACAGACTGTACAGCAACAAAGCTTCTAGCTTTAAAGTTTGTTTTGTTTGATATAAGAATAGCTACTCCTGCTTGCTTTTAGTTTTAATTTTTGTGGAATATCATTTTCCACCTTTTACCGTAAGCTCTATGAGTCCTTATGTGTTAGGTGACTCTCTTGAAGACAGCGAATATGTGGTTGGTGGATTTTTATACATTCTGTCATTCTATATTCTTTTTATTTGGAGCATTTAGGAAGTATTTACATTCAATGTTAATGTTAAGATGTGAGGTATTCAATTAATCCTGTTGTTACTTAGACACTTTGTATTTTTCATTGTGTTATTGTTTTATAGGCCCTGTTAGTTTTATGCTTTAAGGAGGTTCTATTTTGCTGTATAGCAAGCTTTTGTTTTAAAATTTAGAACTCCCTTTAGCATTTCTTGTAGTGTTGGTTTGGAAGTGGCAAATTCCCCCAGCACTTGTTTGTCTGAAAAAAGTCAATGTGAAGGAGAGAATTTTAAGAGCTGTGAGACAGAGTATCAGGTAACCTATAAAAACAAAACAAAACAAAACAAAACAAAAAACCTGTCAGACTAACAGCTAGTTTCTCAGCAAAAACCTTACAAACCAGAAGAATTGGGGTCCTCCTGTTTTTAGCTTGGAACCTTATAAAAGCCAGCCAAGAATCTTGAGTCTATCAAAACTAAGCTTCATAAATGAAAAAGTGATAAAGTATTTTTCAAGCATTTTAGTGCATAGTCTGTGGTTTTGTTTTCTTCTATATAATTGCCTATATACCAAATACAGAATTTTCAGTTCTTTTTATTTTTAACACACACATTTTTCTATTCCATTATAAAATTCTTTTAAATATTTTAACATCATTTAATTGACTACATCAGTAAAATTTTGCATAATTTACTTTATTTTACAGTATTATATAAATCATGTGTGCCTTTTATGTCCAGATAAAATAATAGATGTAATAATACTACAGAAAAAACTAAATAGATGTCATTCTTGCCTTTATGAAACTTAAAGTGAAGGAAATAGAGATTATAAAATCATACATATATTAATGTTATCATGAAAAGTTGCTGAGACCAGCTCACGGAGACCCTAACCCAGCAGCGCTAGAGGAATTAAAGACACACAAACACAGAAATATAGAGGTGTGGAGTGGGAAATCGGGGGTCTCATAGCCTTCAGAGCTGAAAGCCTCAAACAGAGATTTACTCACATATTTATTAACAGCAAGCCAGTGATAAGCATTGTTTCTATAGATTATAGATTAACTAAAAGTATTCTTTATGGGAAACAAAGGGATGGGCCAAAATAAAGGGATGAGTTTGGCTAGCTATCTGCAGCAGGAGCATGTCCTTAAGGCACAGATCTCTCATGCTATTGTTTGTGGTTTAAGAACGCCTTTAAGCAGTTTTCTGCCCTGGGTGGGCCAGGTGTTCCTTGCCCTCATTCCAGTAAACCCACAATCTTCCAGCATGGGCATCATGGCCATCATGAACATGTCACAGTACTGCAGAGATTTTGTTTATGACCAGTTTTGGGACCAGTTTATGGCCAAATTTTGGGGGGTCTGTTCCCAACAAAAAGTTAAAATGTGCTTTGACAGAATTTTAAAAGATGACCACTGAGATTAACAGTTTAGAGCAGGTATCTCTGCAAAAGTGATGCATCGACTAATAAGAAATCCTTAGAAACAATTTCTGTTGTTTTTACTTACTCAGAATTCCTTTCAAATAGCATTATATTCTTTCCCAAATAGCATTATATTTTCTATCTGTGAATTGTGCCTCCCACATTTCATACCCTCTTGGCCCATGGCTGAACATGTGACCCATGCCAAGACAATAATAGTTTCTCTTGGGTGTTTAAACTTTAAACATGTACTTAAAAGGGCAGAAAACGGTCAGACCTATGTTAGTCCAATGGTAGTAAAATGAAGCCTATTAGTTAATTCTTGTTCATCTAACTCTTAAAACTAAGCTTATTTCTGTCCTTCCAGAATTACGAGACAGGCATTGCACTTAATTCTCTGCAACAAGCAAAAATAGGTAATATATTCCCCCTTTTTGCTTAAATTGCACAGAATTTACTTCTGTGGCTTATGCAACAATCAACCCTAGCTGATACAGTCATTATGGTATAGTAAGAAAAGAAATAAGATACTCACAGATGAAGCTAGGAGTCAACTGGTGTAGGCTTTCAGGGCATAAAGGACTTTTACATTTCATTCTAATGGAAAGCCATTTAAAAAATTTAAGCAGGAGACTGCATAATCAGAAGTATGCTTTCATAATAAAATAGCTTCGATGTCTGGAGTAACACTCGAGTTCCATTGTCTCACAGCTATGGAAAACAAGGACATGGACACACAGAAAGTGAAGTTGAGAGCAGAAGTTTAACATGTAAAAGAAAGAGAATAGCTCTCTGTTGCAGACAGGTGTCTGGAAAAATTGACTGGTTGTCTGTTGTGAAATGCATGGAGTTTTATAGATAAGATGATAAGGGGGTGGTGTCTGACTTATATAGGGTGTAAAAAACTGGTTAGACCAGGTGTTCCCTTTGCATAAAACACAAATCTTTGGTAGCTCCCACCCTAATCTTTTATTATGCAGGTGGATTTCTCTGTCTAAGGTGTGTTAATCCTTGTTGAAAGTGAGCTAGGGGGTTGTATGCTAAGCCAACTAAGAGGTCTCTTTCCTTAAAATAAAATCATTTGTAAGAAAAGACCATCCATATAGCATTTCAAAAGGGTTCAGCCCTAACTTTGAAGGGTAAAGCCACAGTAAAGCCTTGGAAAGAATGACCCAAAGAAGGTGTGTTCCTTGGGACAGTTGTATTGCAGGGCTGTTACAGGGGGTTGATGAACCCTGCATTTTCAGTTATTATTAATGGCTATTTACAACATCTGGCTTGGGAATATTGTCCTAACTATACACAAAGCTCCCAAAAACAGGATCCATAAGGTGAATCTGGACTGGCCTAGTGCTATAGCAGCCTATTCTTCCATGAATTGCCCACACTTCTGAATTAATATTAGTTTCCACCAGAGAGAAACAAAGAGTTTGTTCTGGGTCTATAAGAATGCTGACCCCATGTGAGGTCAAATATCTCTACTTAATAAAGGAGTGGGATTTTAGGCATGATTAAGAAGATATGTGTAAATAGATCTCCCCAAACTACAACTAAGCGGTTGAGAAAAATATCAGAGTTAGAATGTTTCCTGAAGATGAATATCATGGCTATACTACAGAAAGAGGAGAGCCTGGATTAGAGAGAAGTAAACTGGCTCAGTGTCAGAAAATTATCCTCCTTCCTTCAATTTCCAGAATCACCAGGGTTCCTGAGCAATAATGGCAGTTCGAACCACTGGAGCTGGGATCTGATCCAGGGACTCATCAGTCCTGCTGGATCATTGGTGGCTCAGTTTTAGACATGGTGACCTCCATCTCTGGAGGCAGTTTTATTTCCAGTGGTCACTGCCATGTGCTGGACAGGGTCAAGGTGGCTGCTTCTTGCTCCCTGGGCAATCTTTCTTAAAGTGCCCTGACTTGCCACATTGGTAGCAACTAGCAGATGCACCTCAAGGGATCTGGATCTTGCAAGTGTGTAAAGCAGTTACCACAGCCCCTGTCCTTCTCTGTGTTTCCTCTCTTTCTCCTGGACATCCTTCTGGTTCCTACTATAAAATACCAAGGTGGCCATCCTCAAAGATTTTCCAGGTGGTATCTGGTCCTGTATATCCTTTAATAGTTTCCTTCTAATGTTGGAGCTTCCCGTGTAATAAACATGTCTTTAAAATTAGCTGTCCCTCAACTGTTTCAGGTGATATGGAGGTATATTTATTAGTGCTTCTCAGCCTTGTCATAAAGGTTGTGGGATTCTCATCATGAATTTTGTCTGTCATGGACATTTTAGAGTAACTAAGAGGTTTGGCACTAATTCTTCACAGGCCTTCCAATATGCACAATAAAAAGTGTTTTCTTTTCCATTTATCTGTGAAGTCACTGGGGTTCTAATGAGGGTTGTCAGGAGTTATTTCCCCTCTTTTTTTGTGGGAATGGTGTTTCCTTTTTTGTCCTTACCTATTTTCTCTTTTGCTTTTTGGCCTACTAGAAGAAACATATTGCTCATCTTTAATTCCTCTGATGCCGGCAGAGCTGCCTGTTTTTCAGCAGCATTTGAGCTTGGCTTAGGAGCAGCATAACATCCCTCCCACAAGAGTCAAACACTGAGATAAATTTTGGAAGGCTTCTATATAGCTATCAGAGGTCATCAGAAAATTGGCCTAAGTTTTCCTTTTATTTGCCTAAGGTCCTGAAATGAAGGGAACTTGGGCAGCTAGTGGCATCACCTTCATTGGGCATTTCCCATATGATTAAGAGCAAAGCTGGAGGAGTGGGAAGTTTTGGATATGGTGGAAGTGGAAGAGCCTATGGTGTGGTTAGAGGGGGACCTGAATAAGAGGAACAGAAGGGGCTAGGACACTAGATTGCTCCCTCAGATGGTTCTCCTAGAAGTTGCCTTTCTAGTTTTGGAGAATTATTTCCTTTGTGCCTCCCTGATGCTGACTGCTAAAGAGCTGGAGTCAATTGTGCAATGTTTGCAAAGGTCTAGGTTGTCTCACAGGGCAAAGAAAACACCAATACGTAAAAACCTTGACCCATTTGCTCTCTGGAAATCTACAAAAGATCTAATTTTGGATATATTAAAATCAAGGCTTCCCTCCAAAGTCAGGATTGGGTCAAGCTAATAGAAGAGGCATACCTTTGTGCAAAGAAAATTAGCACTTTTTCTTCAAAGTCCTGGGGTCATGGGAGTCCCAATGCTTCATAATGCACTCCAGTGGGTATAGGCTGAAGATAGTCTGTTACTCATCTAAAAAGAGAAGTGAAAAAGGTGTCCTTTAGTCTCCTTCCTTTCTTTCTTTTCTTGTTTTGTTTTTCTTCTTTTCTTTTCTTTTTTTTTTTTTTTTTTTTTTTTTGAGATGGCTCACCCAGGCTGGAGTGCAGTGGCGTGATCTTGACTCACTACAAGCTCTGCCTCTGAGGTTCACACCATTCTCCTGCCTCAGCCTCCCCAGTAGCTGGGACTATGGGGCCCCCACCATGTCATGCCTGGCTAATTTTTTGTATTTTTAGTAGAGATGGGGTTTCACTGTGTTAGCCAGGATGGTCTGGATCTCCTGACCTCATGATCCACCTGCCTTGGCGCTTGCGCAAAGTGCTGGGATTACAGGTGTGAGTCACTGCACCTGACCTAGTGTCCTTCCTTTCTTTTGGAATGATCCAGGGTGAAGGAGGTACCAATGGGGGTATCCTTTCAACTGTTTCTTTCCTTGATTCCCTGAGCCCCAGCATCCATTAAAGTGGATGCAGACATCACCCTCAGACATGGATCCGGGGGAACTAAGCAATGGGATTAGTCACACTTGCCAATTCAACTTTAGTCCTCTGTTGGCTATTTCCTTTGATTTTCTGAACTTCTGTGATCTCTGTGGCTTCCCAATGAGTAAATCTCAGGACAGACTATGTAACAGTTGTGTATGTGGGCAAGGCCCCTTAATGGAGTAAGTACTGGGTTGTGCTCTATATTCTGTTATTATACCCCAGATTAAAGAGTATATTCTTCAGAGCAGTGGTTCTGGTTAGCATCCGCCTACATGAAATCCTTATTATTTAAGTATTGTTCTAACAGGAAGTAGAATAGGTGCCTTTAAGACATGTAGTGACCAAATGGCAGTTTTTCTATTGAAGGGAAATTATTGACACAAAATTTGGTTTTGGGAGACATTTTCCTCCTCATTGTTGGGATTTTCCCATTCATGGATGGGGCATAAAGCTTGGTTTATAGTTGGGGGTGTAAAGGGAATAGTATTGGGAAAATACAGTGTTCCAGCAAAGGCCTGATAAAATTATCTGTTGGGAAGGATTCCTATTCACTGGGTAGCACTGTAGGTCTTGAAATACCATGTACTTTCCAGACAAAGCATAGAGAAAAAGATGTTCACTGGGTAGAGAGGGAAACTCTCTGTTCCTAGAAAAATCACAAAAATGGCAATCCCTTAAGCTATATGCCCAGTTACTGTGGAATTGCTGATCTTGCCTGATATGATTATTTCCTTTAACTGTAAAAATTCTTGCAGCATTGCATACAAGAGAGGACAGGAGACATGGTGGTCATGGAGAGGAAAGAAAAAAAAAATTGATGAAAAATCCTTGGAGATTGTGTTGCTGATGCCTAATGAGCAGTAAGAGGCTGGAAGAGTACATCCAGAAGCCTTTGGGTAACACTGGGGTGTAGCGTTGGCCAGGAACTGCCTCTGGATCTCCTCCAGTCCTGCAGGACGGCAAGGCTCTTTGTGAAAGTTAATCGTTCAAAGACAGAACCAACATTCCCAGCATCCTGAGGTCACTGGGGGATTTGCTCAGCATTCACAACAAGCCTGTCACCTCACCTGCATCTTGAGAATGGTAGTGAGCACAACTGGCCATCTCTTAACTGGCCATCAGATACCAACTATTAACTTTGGCCATCAGATACCCAGTTTTAAGTTTGATTTTACAATTTAAAATTGAGGGCGAACCTCAAATAAAGAGATTTGAGTCCACTGCTATATACCCAACACCCATGGTTCCTTATCTTATGGCCATGTAAAACTAGGATGCAGACACACACAGAGTAGAATGAGAGTGATCAAAAGAAAATAGCTATCTGCTACAAAAGTTATCCTAAAAATAGGTTGCCTGTCTATGGCAAAATACAGAAAGTTTAAAGATCAGCTGGTGAGGAGGCAGTGTCTGATTTGAATAGGACATTAAAAAATTGGTTAGACCAGGTGTGCCATTTGCATAGAAGGTGAATCTCTGGTAGTCCCATTTTAATCTTTTATTATGCAGGCAGGTTATCTGCCTAAGCTGTGACATGTTGCCCATTTCTATGTTCCTATAAACATGGTAACAAAAGGGAAGATGGAACCTCCATGTTGACTATGTGTGGCCCCAGGTAGCATTTTCTCTTGGCATAGTTGCCAGCATTTGCCCCATGCAAACAGTATGTTTATCTATGTCTGCAGCTCAATTTTCAGGCTGCTCTTTGTTAGAAAAAAGAAATAATTTTCTGGGCTGCTTTTTATTAGAAGGGAAGCTCTGTCAATGACTCTTTATCCCTCATTATATGCTTAAATAATTTCTTTCTACATAGCTCCTGTATCAATAATATTATTTTGGGTCAGATACGGAGGCTCATGCCTATAATCCCAGCACTTTTGGAGGTTGTGGCAGGTGGATCACCTGAGGTCAGGAATTCAAGACCAGACTGGCCAACATGGTGAAACCCCATCTCTACTAAAAATACAGAATTAGCCAAGCATGGTGGTACATGCCTGTAATCACAGCCCCTCAGGAGGCTGAGGCAGGAGAATCACTTGAACCCAGGAGGTGGAGGTTGTGGTGAGCCGAGATCCACACCATTTGCACTCCAGCCTGGGCAACAGAGCAAAACTCCATCTCAAAAAAAAAAAAAAAAAAAAAAAAAAGAAAGAAAGAAAGAAAGAAAAAAAGAGAGTGAAACTTTATCTCAAAAGAAAATCACTTTGACTGCAGGGGTGGGCAATGTCTTGAAAGACAACAGAGGAGTAGAGTCAGGGAGATCACTTCAGTAGCCATTGTCATATTGGAGAAAAAATATTTTAGTAAATCCTGATAAAAATTGTGGAGTGAGAAAAGCAAGCGCCCAAGGAATTTTTATACAATTTGAGATACAACAAAATATGGAAAACTAAAAATTGTCAGAATAGTAAGACCATGAAATACTATGCAGCTATAAAAAGAATGAAATTATGTCCTTTGCAGAAACAGGGATGGAACTGGAGACTGTTACACTTAAGATACCAATGCAGAAACTGAAAGCCAAATACCACATGTTCTAACATATCGTGGGAGCTAAGCGTTAATACATAGACCCATAGAGGGAACAACAAACACTTGAACCTATCAGAAGGTGGAAGGTGGGGTAGGAAGAGAGAGAAGATCAGAAAAAAATAATGAATGGGTAATAGGCTTAATACCAGGGGAATAAAATGATCTGTATAACAAACTACCATGACATTAATTTACCTGCTCACCTAACAGACCTGCACATGTAGTCCTGAAAAGATTAAAGTGAAGTAAAAGAAGAAAAAATAGGAAAGCCAAGCTAAGCACACTGTTACAAAAGCAAAAATATTAGAATATTAAAGCAAAAAGTGTTTCTAACAGGAATATCTCAATGGCGTTTTGATGAAATGTGTGGCCTAAGATCAAGACAAAATGTTGCTGACTTGGCAACGTGAAAGTTATTCTGACATGAGTGGAGTTGTAGTTGTAGAGGTCATAAAACTTGGTTTGAAAAATAAATCACTGAAAGAATTTCTGTTTCTGGTAAAAAGAAAAATCTTTAAGTCCAGAAATAAAATGGATACCTTAAAACTTAAAGCTCAAAGAAGCTGCCTTAGAGAAGTTATCCTATCTCAGCTAATGTATGAACTTTGGTTTGAATGTTCCAAACACAAAGATTTCAGGCTTCTTATAAATGAAAGGTTGAAACTGATGAGACCCTGTTCCTTATGGCTGAGACTTTCAAAGGGGTACACATTCAGCAGAAGGGTAGAACGTTTAACAACAAAAACAAACAAACAAAAAAACACACATGCAGAAATCCACCAAACCCAAAACCACGACATTTGGAGACAATAATAAAAAGCTTGTCCAGTTTGCTCTATACTCTGGAGAGGAGGTACAGAGTGTGCTATATGTGTAAACAGGTTTGCATTCAAATAGATTTTAGGTTTGAATTTACACTATGTGCCTGGTTTAATTAATTAAACATTAAATTAACATAAGAGAGTCAGATGGTAGAGTAAACACAAAACCTCAGCAGGCTGAAACAAATTTACAATCAGACATAAAGGAAACATAGAGGAACCAATCCCTATGATCACAAATTAACAGACACAAACATTGGGACTGCCCTCAAAGGGTCTTACAAAATAACAATGCAAAATAAAGATTATAAGATAAAAGTATTTTCAATGATTAAGGACCTAAGGAGGAATTTTAAAATATGAGAAAGAAACAACACTCTATATGAGGAGCCCAGAATATCTTCTTGGGAGGTAGGCAGAATTCTCAAGAAACCCCAGTTCCCTATCCTAGGTAATTCAATAAAACACTGTAAGTGTGTGTAAGTTCTGCTGTGAAGGGACTTTGCAGACTGAATTAAGGTTACTGGTCAGCTGACTTTAAAATAAGGATTTTATCCTCGTTATCTAGGCAGACCCAATGTAATCACATGACCTTCAAAAGCAGAAGAGGAAGGTACAAAGCCAGTGGAGATTGTGGCAGAACAGAAAATAAAGAACATGCAGCAGAATGGGAAGTCAGAGAAATTCTAAGTATGAGAAGGATTCAACTCATTTTTGCTGGCTTGAAGATGTAGGGACAAATACAAAGTCCTTATAAAAGCCTCTAGGATATAAAGGTGTCCCCTGTCCTGCAGTTGACAGCCAGTAAGGAATGGTTACCTCAGTTCTATAAATGCAAGAAAGGCAATAGATTCTGCTAACAGCATAAACATGCATGGAAGAAGTTTCTTTCCAGAGTCTTCTGATAAGAGCCCAGCAGGCCAACACCTGATTTCAGCCTTATGCAATGTTTTCTTGTAGAATATTTTCAAGGAGTTTTAGAACTTGGGGCACTCTGAAATTCTCATTTGCTTAGAAATTACTTATGCTGGCCGGGCGGTGGCTCGCGCCTGTAATCCCAGCACTTTGGGAGGCCAAGGCGGGCGGATCACAAGGTCAGAGATCGAGACCATGGTGAAACCCCGTCTCTACTAAAAAATAGAAAAAAAATTAGCCGGGGGGCGCAGTGAGCGGAGTGCCTGTAGTCCCAGCTACTCGGGAGGCTGAGGTAGGAGAATGGCGTGAACCGGGAGGCGGGCCCCTGCAGTGAGCGGGTGCGCCACTGCACTCCAGCCTGGGCGACAGAGCGAGACTCCGTCTCAAAAAATAAAATAAAATAAAAAATAAAAAATAAAAAAAATAAGAAATTACTTATACTTGCTCAGCAATTGTGTATACCTGAGAACTCTTGAGATATAAGAAAGCCTGTGGTGTTTCTAAATATGATAAACTCATTGTGCTTCCTAAGCTTAACAGTTATTACAACTGATATTCATTTTACAATGTTTTAAGTGTTTCTTAGTTTTATTATGCAAAGGTTTCCTGCTCCCCAATTTTCGGAGCTTATAAATATTTTTTTCAGGTCCCAAAGAATGTTGTAGGTCCTTAAAACTCTAGTAGGTTCTGAGCCATGTGCTTAAGCCAAGTGAAATATAGAACAATCCTGTGCATGCCTCACTCACATGTAGCAGTTGTATATACACTTGCAGTAAAATCAGCCCGGTATCCCCACATATTGACAATTTTTAATTTGAATACAGTGCTTTTGTGTTGTTGACTGGCAATTTTTTTTTTTTTTTCTTGGAGATAAGTCTCACTCTGCCTCCCAGGCTGGAGTGCAATGGCATAATCTCGGCTCACTGCAACCTCCACCTCTCAGGTTCAAGTGATTCTCCTGTCTCAGCCTCCCTAGTATCTGGGATTACAGGCCTACCCTGCCTTAGCTAAGACCCATTTTTGTGTTGACTAGTGTAGAGTGCTATAAAATGAATGCTTAATAAATTATTACTTAATGTAATCAAAAATCCACAACTTCAACTATATGTCATAAATCTCCTTCCTAAAATATTTATTTGAGTATATTTCTAAAGCCTCTCAAAATTTTTGGATTCTCTTTAACAAAAAAAAACTTGATCTTTATTGTGTTAAAATGTGGTAGAAATAAAATATAAACCCTACACAAAAGTGGAAATCTCTATAAATATTTACTTCTAGATATGTGTTTCATTAGAAGTTACTTACAGATTTCCTTCTAAGCATTTATATAATGATATTCAAAATATTCTAGACATTCCATATCCTTAATACAGCAATGGCTTTTTAGTACTCTGAAAATTTTTCTCAAGGCCAGGAAAATTTTTTCTTGGTCAGTATAGAAATATTAACAGAGTACACTCCTAAGACAGTCTTAGCATGTGTGATGAAACAAAATTATGCACAGGCCCTGTGTTGCGTGCAGGGAAGGGCAGGCAGGCTGATGTTTCATAAGTAATTAGGAATGCAAGAAGCAATATTGTTCCAAAGTTCACACGATCCTTCTCAACTCCAGCAGAAATATTAGTTAATTAAAAACAACTCCCTCACCTAGATATGCTGAAGTGGGATTAACAAGATTTAAATGAATAATAACATGAATTATTTCCTTACCAAACCTTCATGTGTGATACTCATCCTTGGATACAATAATTGAGTCTGAAATTCAAAGGCTTGGATTTAACTCCTCTGTGGAATACTTGTGGGAAAGAGTGTTTCTGGGGTGTCAGATGAGTTGGTCTTCGTGTGTAGAGACACCGCGGGAGCCATGGGCGGCCTCTCAGGAGAAAAGTCTCATATTGCCTTCATGTCTTTATGCCCCGAGAGCATAACCACTCAGCGACATTCCACAGGTTGCTCAGGGAGGTAACACTCCCTTGAGGCAGTGGAGTACAATCAAACATCTTGGCTCCTCCTGAAACCCACTCCCACCCATTTCCAGTCCCGGTGAAGTCAAAGATCTTAGTAGTTTAGACACATGCCTTTGCTCAAGGAAATTCACAGAAACCGCCTCTGCTATGCATCTTATTGAGTTCTCCTTCACTAGTCGTCCTTTTCCTCATCGCCCAGCCCCTCCCATCTGCCTAAGAACAAAAGATCCTGTAAAGCAATAAATTGGGTGGAGCCGAGAGCTTTGGGCAGTGATCAAGCCTCTGATGCTACGGTCCCCTGGATCCGCCTTTTAAATGCTTATTCTGTCTCTTTCTAACTCCTTGGTCTCCGCTAAACTGAGGTACCCACAGGGTGGTGTGGGGCTGGATGGTGTGGGGCTGGTTTCCCCAACAATATTGCTAAACCTACACTTTTCCACCTTAAGATAATAATGCTATGACATCAATTTTTTTGGCACATGGATAGTTTTGCTCACCTCTAAACCCAATAAAACTCCCATTCTTACCTAGAGACAGACCAGTGACCCAGGGAGTCAGATTTCATGTGGCCACTGAAAGGCACAGCAAATTTGAGTATAACCAATAATGCTTAAAACTGAGCATGTTGTGCTTCTATAGAAAACCAATATGCGAAAAAAAAATGTATAAATAGAAAAACAGAGGACTGGGAGAATTTGTTTTCTGTAGGTACTGGGATGAAGCTCCCTACCTCTTTCCACTGCTCTTCCACACCACTGCTTTTCCCAGGACAGGAAACTTGGTTTCCAATGCGCACCTCCTCCAGCAATGTCTTTTTGCAGATGTGCTTGGCCTTGTATTATGAGGAAAAAAACAAAAAGAAACGTGGTGTAAGAATTTGGCGCAGCTAGAAAGAGAGGTTACTCCCATCTTGGGCCATTCCCAAAGCCCTTTGATAGAGGTTGAGGCTTGAAGTGGTGGCATATTGCAGTGAACATGCATGATGTCTCCATCTCCATAGGCTGGGGCATCCCCTAGTGCTGCAGATCAGATCTGGACAATAAATGTCAGAGTTACCACCACCACAAAGAACTAGACATCTGTAGACCTGCTGAGAGCCGAGTCATTCAAAGACAGGATGGAGTTCACAGAGACTCAAGGTCTGCCTCTGGGAAACTTTTCTTAGTCGGTTGAAAACCCAGAAGATGCTAAATCCTCACCTAGTGAACAGATGCTTGTTCCCTCATCATGGCCTGACTGCAGTCAGAGAGCCCAGGAGTTAGCCCATTTTCTCCCTCATTTTTGGTATAGAAAACAGCCACTAGCACAGCAGCCATGGATTTAGGATGGTAGAGTGCATGGTCTGGATGCAAAACCTTTGCCCTGAAATGTGGCATCAACACAAATACAGACTGCAGATTTTTCATCTTCCTCTGGTGATGACTCACCATTAGTGTCCACATATGTAGGCTTTGATGAAACACTACCTGTTATGAAATAGCCCTCAGCTAGAGACAGCTCCTCTTCTGGAACTGTAGGAAGTGTTCTATATCTTTTTCTGATTAAACTGATTAATATCTGCACAATGTTCAAATATTTGGCTAATCTCAGGGTTTTCTAAAATTGAGACTGAATAAAACTAAAATTGAGCTACTATTTAAAAAATCTAGAAGAAGAAAAGACATTTAATAAGATCTTTAGGTTATACAGGAGAAAAACTGTAAATAGAATAGGCTCAGGAATTAGCAACATATCAGGGTAAGGCTGCGTTGGTTTAATTTCAACATAACACATGTGAAAATCCTGCTGGGTATCAGAACTTAAAAGACAGAATGAGAACAAAAACTGAGCACATTTGTCTCAAAATAAAAAAGTGCCAGGAGAACATTCTGAAGACGTGGACCATTTCTGTGAGATCACATTCTACACACCCACCCTCCACCTTCCAATAAAAGAGGAAAGTATGCTACAATAATATGAGTCATCTCCCAATGCTTTGAGTTAATCCATCATAAAGTATTAGCACCGAGACATTGTATATATGCCTGGCATCCTTTCCCCCAAAGTAAACAAGAGAAAGTCACACAGGCCTTAAAACATTATCGTGAATTCCATCGACAGTGTCCTGAGACCCGGACAGATAAAATACTGCGGAGTCAAAGCAGAGGCTGTGGAAATTTTATTTTAAACAATAGATGAAAATGTCTTTTGTTGGAAAAAGACAGTCAAAGGATGTTAAAATATATGCTGTTTATTATGAATTATTTGGGAACTCAAACTTTGCCTTTTATCTTATGAACTTCTGAAGCTAGACTGACAAGGCCACTGAATGTGTGCCCCACCTGCTGTAGACCATCCAGCTTGCACAGTACCAGGAGAAACGAAGCCTGAGCACTTATAATCTACATCTTAGGCCAAGAACAAAGAGAATCTGATCCACTGTGGAAGCTGTGTTCCTCTCATCAAAGCAAGTCCTCAGGGCAATGGTCTGAGCATCTCTATGCTCCCAGGCATTATACATGGTCTCAGCGGATGGAAATTGCATCCATATGCGAGTTATTCAGCAATTTGTTAATATTTCCACTAGGCTAGCCTGTAGGCTAGCTGGAAAGTGCTGCTATTGGAGAATACTGCAGTGCAATGCTGGGAATGACTTGACTTCTCTTTCTGCATGTAGCACTTGAGTAGAAGGGGTACTGGTAATTTAAAACAGTGTTCTCAAGCACATGTTATCTCATAAGGCATGAATTAGGAAAAAAAAAAGGTTCTAAAATATTCCCTGTCTGAAATCTACAAGTGAGTGGCCTAAAATTAATATTCATAGATCGTGAGTGAGTTGTTAAGCATTAGCCACTGGCAGCACATCCTTAAGTCTCACCGGGAGCCAGGATTTTGTGTGTTCTGCATCACAACTTTGACAAAGTAAGCCCCATTATCTGAAAATGGCTTACCCCCGAGTAGTCAGAGCTTCATCTAATTCAACATCAAGAGACAGATGACCACAGAAGTGACAAAGTGGGGTTGTAGCTGCAGCACATGAGTATGAGACTTGTGACTCTTCAGTCTGCCTAAGAGCATTTCCAGGTTCTTAGAGACTTTTCAAATAAATTGATTGATTTAGGATCTTACTTTCCATCTTTTTGTTTTGGAAATTTTTTTCCTGGACTCTTTTTGTATGCAAGGATAGCCAATCAAAGTGTTTAATTCTAAACATGGATGAAAATGTAAATATAGTAATGGCCAGAAGTAAATTAGTTTTAGTTAGAAAGTTTAAAAAATCAAGGCCTATTTGTATATAGAAATAGCTCATTTTCTCTTATTTCCATTTAACTGCTTATCTGAGATTATAATAAGAAAATAAAGGCCAGGTGTGGTGGCTCATGCCCATAATGCCAGCACTTTGGGAAGCTGAGATGGGGGGCATCACAAGGTCCAGGAGTTCAAGACCAGCCTGACCAACATGGTGAAACCCTATCTCTGCTAAAAAAATACAAAAAATAACCAGGTGTGGTGGTGCTGCGCCTGTAATCCCAGTGCTTGGAGGCTGAGGCAGGAGAATCACTGGAGACCTGGGAGGCAGAGGTTGCAGTGAGCCAAGATCACTTCCATGTACTCCAGCCTGGGTGAAAGAGAGAGACTGTGTCTCAAAAAACAAAACAAAAGAAACAAAAACAAAAACAAACAAAAAAAGAAAAGAAAGTCATTCTGAGGTGGGGACTGTATTGTTTGAACAAGGCAAAATTACAAGACATACAGTTAGATAGTAAGTAGATTTCTCTGTATTCAGTGGCCTTGAGCTTATATTAGTTTTATAAAGCAATATATAATTTCTCCTAAATGAGAACTGGTACACAGCAGCTTACTTAAGAATGTTGTCATAAATAAACATTTTCCTGTGAATATAAATAAGGATTCTAAAACAGTTCTGAGTAATTTAAAATTTATACTTCTAAGACAAATATTCATGTAGATATCACATATACTCAATCAATTATTTTTAATAAGAATAGGTTTGGTTCCTGTGAAAATTTTAGTTAAAGGACAATAGTGTAGGCATTTTATAGGTTCCAATCAAACTTAATATTGTAAAAATAATGAGTCTGTATCCAGAAAGTTGACAGACTCCAAGAAAAAAGTGACTGAGTTGTCTCGTTCTGGTTCTCTTTACTTTCTCTTAACAGCCAGGTCCTGGAAATTTCAGAGTGAAAACTGGGAAAAAATGGAGAAGGTGCAGAAAGATGGGCAACTCAGTTTCTTAGCACTCCACAGAAATATATTTGAAAAGCAGGCCTGCACTTTATAAATTTAGAAAATAACAAAGAAGCAGTGACATAAGTTAAATAAACAAACGTCTTAAGATTGATCAAAGGTGGCTGGTCACAATTGTCAGTCCTGTAATCCCAGCAGTTTGGGGAGACCCAGGAGGCGATCCTGAGTCAGGAGTTTGAGACTAGTGGCCAGCATAGTGAAACCCGTCTCTACTAAAAAGTACAAAGATCAGCCAGTGTGGTGGTGTTTGCCTGTAATCCCAGTTCCTCCAGGAGACTGAGGCAGAGAGAATGTGTGAACCCGGGAGAGGCGGGAGGTGCGAGTGAGCTGAGATCAGGCCATTGTATAGCCCCAAGGGACAGAAGAGACCAGCCGTTTCCAAAAGAAAAGAAAAGAAGAAAAGAAAAAATTTGACCAAACTCAAGATGAAAGAACAGCAGCATCACCTTGGAAGCTCCCTAACATCAACATGTGTTGCTATCACAAACTAAGACTCAAACATCCTCAGTTCCCTCTCACTACTGTAAACTGTGGGAACTTCAAAGTCACATCCTAGCATATTGTACCTCAGGAAATGTTGTATATATCCAATGATGGGTGGTTAGGGGACAATCAGGATTAATATTTTTGTTCAATGTATGGGAAGAAAAAACATGTTTTCTAAAGCTGCAAATTCAGAAAGATAAATCACATGAAGCACTGTAGCCTTCTCAGAGGAAAACAATTTCCCAACATCCCTCTGCTGGAAGAAGCCCTATGAATTTACTTATAACAAATATTTTTGGTTTTGGAGTATAATATGAGACATAATATGGGCCTCATGATCAAGAAAATGCATCATCACCAAATTCTTGTTTTTTGAGAGAGGGTGAAATATAATTTAAATATTAAATGGGTATTACAAATTAGGCATATTTATTGAATATTTGAACAGTATAAGCAGATATCAAATAGAGATTACAAATTTGGGCAGAAATGCCAGTGTGTAATATATACTATCTTTCATGCTCCCCTCAACAAAACAAGACAAAAAATGTCTTTCAGAAGAAGTGCCTCTGAAGCTTCAGATACTTTCTGGCTCAGCCCAGAAATGAGATGCTGTGGGCTCCTGGAAATAGCTGAGTTCTGGGGCTGTGATGCAGGCAGTAGGCAACAACATTCCTAGAGCAAGACTATACTTTATTTATCTAAACTAACTTATCTTTGCAAACTGAACAAATTTAGCAAGGATTGTATTTGTGTCACGATGGGAGCATATTAGCTGAAAGAGCAAATAGAATATATTACCTGTGGTATATGTTAGATTAAGAAAACAGCTTTTCTGGCTATAATCCTTTATTTCCAAAGTTATGACTCTATTATTTCACAACAGCGGTTTTACAAAGAAAATGATAGTAGTAAATCAAAGCATTTAAGAATTAAAATGATTTACTTTTCATGAACAGTGAAAAAAATGAATGGGGAAAAAAACAAGAAAATATGACTGCAATATTCTTTCTCCCCTCTCTCTTTGCATTAGATATCATTCAGTTGTCGAGAT